GGGGAATTAGTACCCTCGTATGGCGCTTCGGGCTGTCGGCTCGGGGAAAATTTCAGACAATTGACTTTAGTTTAAGCCCTTCTTTTAGCTGTTTATTTTCCCCTAGAAAATCAGCCGTTTGCATGCTTAATTAATGACTCTAACGCTACTCACTCTCATCGTGTATAACTGATAGCCAGCTCAGTGCTATTTATACGCACCTCGTCGGCTATTAGCTCATAATTATACAACTTTCGCAGAATAACTGCTATATCCTTCTTAACCTAAAATGCCAATACATGTATAACTAACATTATTTAGGCAGTTCTTGTGTCTCGCACATTTAGGCAGTTCTTGTGTCTTTTGTTTACCCAACCCTGTTCTCCTCGGTGTTCCCCCAACCCGCCACAAATAATAATCAATAATGACCGGACCTTAATTTAAAATATATTTTTTGTAGGTATGCTGACGATATTGGTGATCGCAAACTGACCGGACCAATACGAAAAATCTACAGGAAAGATCTGAATCCAAACTACGTGGCATACTATGAATTTGAATTTGAAGATTGGTCTATTACGTTCTCTGCTGGACCGAGGACAGGAGATCATAGGTTGGTAGAAGAAGGACAAGTTCCGAGAACCACGGATATGTTGATTGACCATGCTGCTAATATGAACAAAATTTGTGACAAGTTTTTTCGTCTGAATGCTGATGGTACAACAATTTGTGAAGACGATGCAGGAGAAGCTGTTGCTTCAACAATGGATTTAAAAACACTAACAACAGTAAGTTTTCAAAAAGGTTCTGCCCATAACTTTTGAAATATACTGTACGTCCTTAAATTTTTTTCCCAGTCTTTTTGGGTTAACTAAAATTTTGAGGAGTATGGTTGCACAGAACCATACACTTAGCTTCTTTACATATTGTCAACGAAAAGTATATTTAAAAGTTTAGATTAGTGTCGGATTAAGATTAGATAAGGTTTAGATTAACATTACATTAGGATTAGGGGTTAGAGAAGGGGTTAGATTAGGGTTAGGTTCATTGATGCAATAAGTTATTGCATACAATCGGTTTATAATTACATACAATAGATTATTGTTCTTTGTATGTTTGCATGGTGATAAAATATAATAGTTTTGTTTGTGGAAACACCACGTAAATTTATTACTGCAATAAATTAATTTAAATATTAATTATTTATTGCAGTAATAAATTTACGTGGTGTTTCCACAAACAAAACTATTAATACATTATTGGTTGCAACGTGCGGAACGCAGAATAATATTTTGGGCTCACTTTTTTCGAATTTGCCTTGTAACCAAGCCTGATCCAAGATGGCGGCCATCAGTTGCTAAGCAACTTACCTTTATTTTTACCGCAAGAAATTCGACGGAAATACCACTTCGATAATTCGGTAAACCGCATTTT